CGAACATGACCTTCAGAGCGTTGTGGCCGTAAGTTTCTACAAGCCTAACGCACAGACTGTCAGGCGGATGCTCTTCAGTAAACTTGCTCCAGTTAATCTGCTGAAGAAGTTCTAGGAACCAGGGAGGCGGTGAGTCGCAAAAAGAGCTATCTCCAGTGAAAAGTTCTAGAAAGAGGAGGGTCTCTAAGGCAGAGTTGTAGGCTTGGGGTGAGTTCTCGGAGGCGGCCAAATGCAGACCTAAATGAATCAGCAGAGCAATGCAAGGGAACGGGAAGCTATCTCCAAAATAAAAGGAACCAAGGTCAAAAGCCTGACAGTTTGTAATAAGGTAGTGCAATAAATCCTGCAAGAGCGAATCATTGGAGGAAGTGGAGGTAGAGTACAGACCACAGCACATCCAAAGGAAGAGAAGGAAACGTGGCTCGAATCCCTTCAGGTTAAACGGTTCGGTCAAGCCAAGAAGGACACGAAAAGCGGGATATACCGACGAGGGCTCTACTGAGGGCAGAAACACAAGGCTCCCAACCAGTTCGGAGAGCAGACTGCAGCATAAATCTGTCTTTCCGGAGCGATGCATAAGACAGGCAAAGAGAAAAGCATACTCGCTCTGAAGGCGATGGTCAGCAATGTTTGAGACACAGTTGAAGGCCTCGACATCACCAGCTTGGAGGCAGAGGCTCGAAAAGTTGACAGCGGTCGCGAAAAGAAGATTATCCTGGAGTTTTAGGGCGCCAGCAGGCTCCAAAAATTTCAGACAAAAAGCGGCCGCTTGTGCATTCTCACCAGCAGCCGCAAGGAATTGTACATACACGTGAATGAAAGACAATACAAAGGAGTAGGTAGACTGAGGCAATTCAGCGGCCTGACAGTCGGCCAAAAATGTCCGAACGCTAGTGGGAAAGCCCAAATCATCCTCAACATTACGAAAGAGATTGGCCTGTCTAAGCAAATGTTCAGACTCAAAGAGAACTACATGACCGGCGGCGCGGATGAAATCGTCTTGTGGAAAAGTGTTAGACAAACCAAACAGAAGACGAAGGTACCAAACGCCCCAGCGGGCTGGATGACTAGGAGGCAATTGCCTCCAAGTTATCTTAGTAAAACCTAAAAGATCGTCAGCCAGTTGGAGACCAAACCGAGAACGGCACACAGCCCATTCTAGTTTGGCTGCATAGAAAACGACTGTGGTTATGGGATTTAATAGGCGCACTGATTGCTTAAATGAATCAATGTGGCAGTGGGCTTCCCTCAGAAGGTGCCGCAAGGCAGCCCTCAGAAGCTGGCGGCGAAGTGATAGAGTAAGTGAGGGGTGGCTTACGACGTAGGCAACAAAGTGGACGGAAAAATCTGAACAAGCTAGACAGTTGATAACTGTGCTCACAAAATCGTTCGAAAGGCTCTCACGTAACTGTAAAATTGTATACAGATGATGTACTATGAGGCGTCTGTCAACTGAGAAGGAACTGATAGTTGGCGAAGTGAGGACAAAGAGACGGGTCCAATCGATGTCCGAGCTTGGAAAATTTGCGTAGATTGAATGCCAGTTGGTTAAGTTGTCACAGTGTGGGGGGACTTCATCAGAAACTTCATTCAAAACAGTATTACAAACGGGACAAACAGAACAAGAACCCGGAGAATGGGCCCTATCCTTGTTGGCCGGGGAATAAATGCCTCTGTATCGCTGTCGCGAAAGCACAGGCGGGTTAGTCAAGCCAGTGGAGGGGTGTTGAAATTTACACGCAGAATCAAGGCAATTGCCGTCGAGAAAAAACGGACATATTGGTGTGAGGGGGTCAATTTTTTCAGCACAGATAACTTCAGTAGACTTGGAGGACGTTGCATTCATTGGACGATTTGCGGACTTATCTGTCGTATTTAATTGGGGTTGAGGTAGGCCAAAGTATCCGAAAAATGGCGATGAAATGCGAAAGGATGACTCAAGCTGCGGAAGCAGAGCCTTTAAATTTTTGACGGCATTAATGAAGGTCGGTGACGGAAGCTGAGGGGGCAAAGGAGGTCGCGGTGGTGGTGGGGGAGGAGGCGGTAACGGGGGCGGTGGCGGTGGCAATGTTTTCGGTTTGGTTTTCTGACTAGAAATGGCAGCCCTCCGAGCCATCTGTTCAGCAGCACTATTCATCCTAAGTAGCTGCTGTTGAGCACGTTGAAACTCCGTTACTGTCATCGACTTCTGCCTGTTTACCTGCATAGTAGCTAGGCGGGCATTAGACTGCAACTCTAAAGTACGCTGTAATTTGGCCCTGAGAGTAGCTAAAGCAGTGGTTAATTTTGCTTCAGTCTTTTTGCGTTCTACTACTAGCTTCTGCTGACGTTTTAGGATTAGTTTAAGTTGCTCGACTTTAGTAGCCTGACGCAAAACCAGTTTTTTATAGGAATCTAGAGAGAGCTGAGGCGTGGAACGTTTAACAGACAGGGCACCCGTTAGTGGTTTAGACTTATTGACAAGGGTGGAGAGGCTGGCAGTAGACACAGAAAGTGACATCTTTTTGCCGTTGGAAACGCCATTTTCCGACAAAGAGAGGGTGGTTTCTGTTTGCGAACGCTTCAAAGTAGTCTTAGAAACTGACGGTTGGGAGGATAGGACGCTTTGTGTTCGGACAGAAGTACAGCCAAGAGTGACGCTAACCACCGGCGCTGCATGACACGTGGATTGCAACTCATCGTCACTCGATTCGTCTGATGAGGCGCTGAGCGTCACAATGAATCGTGACTTTGGCTGGGGAATAGGTGGCTGTAAGTGAGAGGGCGAAGTAACTGGAAGGGACCCGGCCTTAACTTCCGTGTCTGCAGAGGATAAGGACTGGCTGTGATTTGCGTGTTTCGAGAAACTAAGTAGGGCTTTCTTTCGAAGTTCAAGTTCATCCGTCGAAACCTATGCGTGTAACAAGCATGATGAAATTTGTAAGCATACATTCGAAGGAGTATCCTCGGGTGCATTCTTCTCTAAACGTGGGATGACAAATGCGTGTGCGGAGGAAACATACCCGATAACTCGGCCTCAAGATAAGGTACGTCAGTAATTTGTTCTAGATACGCTCGGATAGGAGAAATAAACTTACTTGGTGATGGCGAAGAGTTCGTGAAATGTACGGAGGTAGATTGAAGACTTCCGATGAAACTTTTAAGAGCCAACTGACGGAGACTTTCTTCATCAAAATGGGCGGACTGAGCAGCATGATCTTCATACGGAGTGGCTGCTTGGGACTGCAAGTTTTCTAACTCTGGTTCTTGTGCACAGGTGGGAGAGATCATCTGTAAAGAGAAAAGTACTTTTTAAACAGCCATAAAAAAATCCATATTAAGCTGTGCAGAAAGTAAATGAATAAAAATAACATTAACTGGTCACAACGCAAGATTTTTGGGGGAAACACTTAAAATTGACCACTTACATAAAACAAAGTTGTCGCCTGTCTGACCCTGAGGATCCAATATCATGTGCGACCAGGTAAAACTGCAAAGTGCTGGACAACGCACATAACTCTCGATGTTTAAGTCACAAGAGCAGGTAGGTTCCCTGCGTTTCAAACCGTTTCCAACATATAAGATGAACTTATGCAACAAAGCACTATGTGTGCATACATGAGCATACGTGCGCATTAGTCCGCTCGATCAACGCCTGTATATTAAACATGTGCCGCATACTATCAACGTGAACAGATAAAGGGAGGCAGTCTTTATCACCAAGCCTATGAATTCAGCCAGCTGCCAGTATATCTTGCAACAATCACACGTCGAAATGGGGATTGACAACAGCATACAGGGGACAATAATTGGCGGATCAAAGACAATTAAATTAATAATTGGTAAGTATGGAATTGACAATTCCTTGTGCAGTCGGAAGTCTGGTGAATTTGCGTACAATTTAACACTTTGACTGCGACGTTAGCCATATGTGGTACACGCAATATGGCGAACTACGGGCTATTTTTGGGAGTCGCAGTCAAAGTGTTAAATAGCATAGGTTTGGGCAGCAAGTAAATCGTCTAGTGAGCTTGGTTTCGAGCTACCGAACAGTGACTGATCACACACTTCAATTGGTGATGTGAATGCTTATAATGTTGTGTAAAAAACGGACCGACCAAACAGCATACACCGGCTTGTCTAAGAATTCGCGGATGCAAGAATGGCGTCCACAGGATACTAAATAAATACCACGTTTGGCCATACCGCACTACTCGGCTGCAGGAACTTCGGTTCAAGGTGCAGTTTTTATTTGCAGCAGGCATTCACCGATAGCGAAACAGTGCAAATAGCTTATTGGTGGGGAAAGAGCAACCCACTGCCTTCTTATAGAACCCAAGGCAATGTGGTCTAAAGGTCATGAATTCGGCAGGTATTACAGGAATAAAAAGAAGCTTCAGGCCAAAACACTTTAATGAGACCCCCATCAAGACCAGCTAGTTTAGTCCTATCGTTGACTATTTCTTTAACAACCTAGTCATGTGACATACCGGCTCTAGAAACGTGATCATGTGATTAGACGTTGTAAGCCACTACCTCGAAGGGGTGTTCTATGGCACTTGGAAATTCCTGTTTCACAATTACGGCCCTAATACGGCAGAATAACAAAAGACCATCATCAAACAGCGTGAACTTATTTCTGCGGAAACTACACCGCGGCTTGCAGTCTGATGGGGCTTTCCAAACAAGGCGGTTTATAAAATTTTCAAAACGTACTGACGTCAACTTTCTTTGCAAGTCGATAGTTACATTAACGTACAACGTTACGGAGCTCAATAAAGATCCTTCTTTAGTTCATTTATTGTAACGAATTGTTTAAGCACTTTTCGAATAGTCCTAAAACGATCGTCCCCTCTTGAAACCATCATTTATCAACCGACACTTCCGTCTTATGTATTATTCTGAAGACTGCAACTATTCCAAGTTACAAAAGCATTATCAACAGCTCTTCTTCGTAGTTAGCAACTGTGAGCTGTCGAGTTCGTTGAAGACGACCTTACAACACGCTCATCACGACGTAGCGACAGTCGTTGATATATACTGTTCATCGTGTCGTTTGACCAGGGCAATGCGCCAAACGGAATAATAAGAAACTATTTGAAACAAGCAAAAGAGTTGAAGCATTGACCGTGCTAAAAATCAGAGAGCAAAAATATCTTAGTACATTTCTAAAGGACAATGAAACAAAACAAACCACGAACCATGGGGAAACGGAACTAAACACCATATGCCAAAAATTTCGACGAATAAAATCGTTACGAAGTTAATTCAAAGTTAGAAGTTATTAAATTCTTGTGACGACTCTATATTTACCCAGAACGCATCCGTTTCTTTAAATATTGCTGTTCTTCCCTGATAATTTGAGGATATGCAATACACAGAACACTGGACTAACTTTTCTGCAGTATATAGGTTTGGCACATTTGCCGCCGTAAACTGATAATGTGCAGGGAAAGCTGACCGCTAGAGAGACATACGACAACCGTCCAAAGGGCAGGCAATATCACCAGCTTTTGCTGATCATCAAAGTGAAAAAATCGAAAATTTATATTAAAAACAGAAAACCTGACCAGAAATCACGTAGTTTAGGAACGTTGGACAAACGGAGAAAAAAACGGTAAACAATGCAATAAATGGACAACTAGCACCACAGTGGCTACCTGAAGCACATGGTTGTCTACAAAGCGTGCAATAACTTATGCCTTGCCGGGCAAAATCTTGCATTTTCAGTTCTATAGGGATGAGAACACGCCTTTACAAACTTATTATTCCTTACCTTGTTTTAGATTCCACAAGAAAATTTTTTCTCCTAAATAGGCTTTCTCTGCGCTCTTACACCTCTTCTCTATATAGTGTGCTTTCTTACTCAATTTGCTGTAAACAACTCGGTTCATGGATTTGTAGGCTCATGGCTAGAGGGATTCCCAAATAGCAAATGGGATTCTACGGGAATTCTACGGGAATCCTACAAGTCTACAAAATAGGATT